TGTGTGTGTGTGTGTGTGTGTGTGTGTGTGTGCGTGCGCGCGCCAGGTTCCCAGCCCTTGTAAGCTGTCAGCGTGCTGGGGTGGTCTTGTGATGCAGCTGTCTTTGAGTCACTGTAAGTAACCCCCATCAAACTAATTAGTTCACCAAGTTGAACTTTGGAGGTATCTATACTTTGGTCTGTTTCCCTATCTGGGGTGAATAGACATGTACGTTGTGTCTTCCCAAGAAAAGTTATGTCATACAACACCTCGGTGAGCCTTTTGGATCCTGAACATTATTGAAGTAGGTGGGGTGGCAATGATGACACCAGATATCTCCTCATTGCATCCAACTTGGTGGAAAGCTTGCCCAAACTGTACCTTAACAGTAGCAAAGCAGCTCTTTTATCCATTGATCTTCGAAAATTTGCACAACCCACACATGTATGCAAATGCAATCAAACCATGTGGGGAATTTGGGGAGGACCGAAAACTGATCTTGTCCACCTCTGGAGCTCAAGACCTGCCTATGAACAGAAGAGAACAAGCACTCAGGACTTGGGGTGCAGCACTGGTGCAGAGTGTGTGTTGTCCGGAATGTGAGTCTTGAATTCAGTCCCCAGCACTGAATGCACGCTTATTTGGGAAGTAAAATCAGCTCTGTTTCTCTCATTGCCTTGCATTTGTAGGGCCACCCTTTTAAACAGTTCCTGTTTTGGTTTGTTGATCAACCTGATCAAATGGAGGACCCAGGTGTTTCTCAGAATTGGATTAGGACATTCAGGGGCTATGAGGTGTTTCCAACTATTTGACGTTGTAACACAATTTGTCATCTGTAAAGATCACACTCAAGATCCATGTAATTGAGTTGAAAGGATATATGTGGGGGCATTGGAGAGATGGCGCAACTGTTAAGAGCACTGGCTACTATTCTAAAGGACTGGGTTTGATTCCTAGCACCTACATAGTGGTTCACAACTGTCAGTAACTCTAATATCTGGGAATACAATGCTGTTTTCTGGCCCCTACTGGTAACAGGCATGAACATGGTACACATACATAATTTAGGCCAAACACTCATACACATAAACTAATAATTTAGCATTTATGTATTTATTTATTATGTATACAGTGTTTTATGTGCATGTCTGCCTGCACACCAGAAGAGGGTATCAGATCTCATTTTAGATGGCTGTGAGCCACCATGTGGTTGCTGGGAATTGAATTCAGGATCTCTGGAAGAGCAGCCAGTGCTCATAATCTCAGCCATCGCTCCAACAATAATTTGAAAAATTAAAGCAGTATAAGACAATAAAAATCATTTTAAAAAACAAAGAGGGAACTGGAAAGATGGCTCAGTTAACTAACTGCTTGGTAGATCTGAATTCAGTTCCCATCACCCAAATCAATTGACTTACAACCCCCATAACCCTAATATCAGGGAAATCTGATGCCTCTGCCTTCTGCCAGCGGCAGAAGAAGCATATCTTTATATGCACCTACCCACATACAGGCATACACACATTATTGAAACGATTAAAACAAAAATTAAGTCTTAACAAAACAGGAAAAACATTCATATTTCGAGTAAGTATATGGTTTTGTTGGGTCACATAGCTTTCTCAGTCATATAATCACTTAGTCCCTGCCCAGTGAGTAGCAGGGTAAAACACTTTCCCTTTTCGCCAGGGAACTGGATGCCACTAAAACTTCGAGGTACCTTGACTTCTGTTTGTGAGCAGGAAAAGCCTAGTTGGGCAAGGTGTCTGGCTTTTGTACAGGCCTGCTTTGTGTCTATCAGAAACTCCCTGGTACAAAATGAGACATATGTTAGGGATTTTCCCCATCCTTGAACAACAGAATGCATAGCCACCAACGATTTGTGGATTTTCTAGCCATTATGTTGAAGCCCTAGAGATGCAAGTATGCTCACAAAAGGTGGGAGGACAGGCACGGAGGGGCACGGTTGTGGGGAAACACGTGTGTAGTAGGGAGTCACTCTAAGGCTTTGTTTCTGAGCTTACAAGGAAAGAAAACCTACACCAGCCTTTCCTTTCTTTTTTTCCTTCCTTTCTCTTTTCTTTCTCTTTTTAATTAAATGATTTATTTGGTTCTAAAATATTTCCATTACTTCAAGGTTCTTTTGTTTTTGTTTTGCTTTTTGGGGACAGGATTTCTCTGTGTAAGAGTCCTGGCTGTAGACCAGCTGGCCTGGAACTCACAGAGACCCACCTGCCACTGCCTCCCAAATGCTGGGATTAAATGTATGCGGCTTTGCTTGTTTGCATTTACTTACTTATTATGTGGATAGTGTTCTGCCTACAGGCCAGAAGAGGGTACCAGATCTCATTGCAGATGGTTGTGAGCCACCATAGGGTTTATGGGAATCGAACTCAGGACTTCTTGAAGAGTAGCCAGTGCTCTTAACCACTGAGCCATCACACCAGTCACCACCTCTCCCCTTTCTTAAAAGACAGTCTCACTTTGTAATCTTGACTGGCCTGGAACTCACAGAAATCTACCCCCCTCTTCCTCCCAAGTATTAGGATTAAAGGTGTGCACTGTGTGCCTGGTGCCCACTGGGGCCAGAAGGCGGCACTACACTCCCTGGACCTAGAATTGTGTTTGTGAGCTGTTGTGGAATATTATTTTAACTGGGCAAAGATATGTTCCATTTGTTTTTGCTGCAGAATATTACTTTAACTGTATGAGGCAAGTTACATTTATTTATACTGCACTTGTTTAATTATGTAAAGATGTGTTTCTTCTTGCCTGCCTAAGGCAACTGATTGGTCCAATAAAGAGCTGAATGGGACAGCTTGAGCATGCCACCCAGACACAAGGAGCAGTGAAGGTAAGATACACAGAGGAAAAGTAAAAAGCTCTGAGGCAAAAAGGAATAAAGAGAAATAGGTTAACTTAAGTTAGCTGGGTTTAGTGATGCACAACTTTAATCCCAGTACTTGGAAGGCAGAGGCAGGCAGATCTCTGTGAGTTCTAGGCTAGCCTGATCTACATAGCAAGTGCCAGGGCTCTATTACACATAGAAACCCTGTCTTGACACCCTCCCCCCATAAAAAAAAAAAAAAGCTATTTAGGGCAGGGCAGGTTGATCCATTGGGAAGTAGAAGCAGAAAGAGCAGGAGTTCCAGGTTAGCCCAGGCTACAGTGTGAGACACTGTCAAAAAAAAGCAAAAACCAAATTGAGTCCTGGTAATAGCTTATTGGATAAAGGTGCCTGCCACTAAGCTTGGGGACCTGAGTTTAATGCTTGGAACGGACTTTTAAAGTTTTCTTCTGGCCTCCACACATGTACTGTGGCACAACTGTGCCCCATTCCCACCTAAGTAAAATATAATTAAAATTTTAAATTGAGGGCTGGAGAGATGGCTCAGAGGTTAAGAGCACTGACTGCTCTTCCAGAGGTCCTGAGTTCAATTCCCAGCAACCACATGGTGGCTCTCACCCATCCGTTATGAGATCTGGTGCCCTCTTCGGGTGTGCAGATATACATGACAGCAGAATGTTGTATACATATTAAATAAATAAAATCTTTAAAAAAAAAAAACAACAACAACTTTAAATTGAAATTAAAAGGGAAGCCAGGCAATGGTGGCTCACTCCTTTCATCCCAGAGCTTGGGAGGCAGAGACAGGTGGATCTCTGTGAGTTCAAGGCTAGCCTGGTCTACAGAGCTAGTTCTGGGACAACCAGGGCTACACAAAGAAACCCTTTCTGGAAAAAAATAAAAAATAAATAAATAAAAGGGAGAGCGAGTGTAGAGATAGTTTAGCTAGCAAAGTGCTTGCCATGCACACATAAGGACCTGAGTTCAATCCCCAGCACCCTTGTAAAACCCAGGACACCGCAGCCTATATTTGTAATCCCAAATATAGGCTGGGGAAGTGGAGATAAGCAGATCCCTGGGGCTTACAAGGTGGACAGCTCATGAGGAACAGCACATAAAGTGACCTCTGGCCTCTATATGCATACACACACTGTATCCACCAAAACATACATTACCTATTTTATAGTCATCCTAAGAATTTCTCAAGTCCTACCAATTGTGAGCAACTTTGTATTAATTGAAGGGTGTTTCCTGTGTTAAAGCTGCCTGGATTGATGAGAGTTGAGCTTTCAGCTACTGTTCCAGAGGTATATTCCGTGCCTTTTTTTTTTTTTTTTAAGATTTTATTTATTATGTATACAACATTCTGCTGTCATGTATATCTGCACACCAGAAGAGGGCACCAGATCTCATAACAGATGGTTGTGAACCACCATGTGGTTGCTGGGAATTGAACTCAGGACCTCTGGAAGAGCAGTCAGTGCTCTTAACCTCTGAGCCATCTCTCCAGCCCTATTCTGTGCCTTTTTTACATGGGATTAACTAATCTAGGATAGGAACTATAGGCCTATATTAACCAGAATGTTCAGGCAGATCTAGTTATGTTGCTAACCTCCCTCAAAAGAGGCCAACAATGTCCACTTGATGTCAGTCAGGACATGTGACATGAATTGGGTGTTCATTTCAGTAGAGATTACAGTCCAGGGAGGCAAGCTGAATTTTAGCACTATTAGATCAGGTACTATTTCATCAAAGGAAAAAAATACCTTAAGCCTCTACCACAAAAATTTTGTCATCCCTGACATTTAACTATTAGGGAGAATCTGCCTTCTAAACGATTTGTTCACATTCAATGGATTTTTCCAAATAAGAGTAAAGAAGTCTTATTTATTTGAGAAAAGGTCTCACTGTGTTGTGTTGACTGGCCTGAAACTCATGTAGACCAGGCTGGCTTCAAAGGCATAGAGCTCCTCCTGCCTCTGCCTCCCAAGTGCTAAGATTAAAGGCATGCTCCACCATCTCCATCAAGAAGCCTTTTGAGAGAATCATCAATTTCTACTTTTTAAATTAAAAAAAAAAACTATCATTGATTAAAGGCATGCTCCACCATCTCCATCAAGAAGCCTTTTGAGAGAATCCTCAATTTCTACTTTTTAAATTAAAAAAAAAAAAAAAAACTATCATAAGAAATGCCAGGGTTAACATGCACAAAAGCCAAGAAACCAATGATGCCAGATAGTGAATTTCTATTGCACTGTCTTTTGAACACACCAACAGGGAAGAACTGCTGGAGGGCATGCAGTGCCACAGGGAATAACCAATTTCTAAAGTACCCCCCCACACACACACGCCATATCTTCCTGGTTCATTTGCTCACCACTGTTTGACAAGGGGAAGGCTCCAGGGTACTGCAGAATGTTTAAGAACTCTTCAATTAGTTGGTTATTATGGCCCACACCTTTAATCCCAGCACTTGGGAGGGAAAGGCAGACAGATCTCTGAGCTTGAGGCCAGCCTGATCTACAGAGGGAGTTCCAGGATAGCTAGGACTACACAGAGATCCTGTAGTGAAAAACAAATAAACAAAAAAGCTGGGCAGTGGTGGTGCATGCCTTTAGTCCCAGCACTCAGGAAGCAAAGAGGCAAGTGATATCTGTGAGTTTAAGGCCAACCTGGTCTACAGAGCTAGTTCTGGACAGCCCGAAGGCTACACAAAGAAACCCTGTCTAGAAAAACTGGGGGGAGGGGAAGGTGTTCGATAGAATGTGTCATTTGTCTGACTCTAAAATGTTTCATACAAAGTGAAGGCTCTGGACCTGGTGAAAGCTCTAAGAAGCTTTATTTAACCCTATTCAGAAATTACGCTATCATGAGGGAGAGTGTGTATGCTCAAATACACACAATAGAGAGGCACAGTAGTGTAAAAAGAGACAAGGAAATGAATACACTTAAATAGGTTATTTTCTTAAAAAAAAAACCAAACACATCATTAATCTTTAATCTTAGATCCTATTACAGTATCATGAATCAGCAAGCAGACATCAAAGTTAAAGAGTCCAGTAAACATCTCCTTTTATAATACTCTTTTATTTGATTAAAGAATTTGCCTTCGTTGTGTACATTGGAATGTTATATTCCCTATGTATTTTACAGGGTTACAAAATGTCTCTCATTTTAAATATTACCCCAAAAGTAATTTCAGAAAAAAGTCTTTGTGAAATTAAACTTGACTTTAAAAATCATAGGGACAAACAATTCTGAAATACAACTGGATTAATAAGATTTCTTGTCTACTTAACTACATGACAAACTTCTTATCCCAGTCCCCTTCCTCAGAAAACCTCACATGAAAACCAAGCTGGAGATAAGGATTCTTCCCTGATGCAGTTTAGGGAAAGGGAAAGGCCAAAACTTTCTTTGGCAAGCCATCCAGCCACAGCCATTTCTGTGTGACTACCCTACTTCATGGGTAGTATACTTTTGCCACGGAGGGCCAGCTGTTCAGAATGAGAGCCCCGCTCTCCAGCCACCTGAGAGTGTGGAGGTCATCTTCTGTCATTTTCTGCTTCCCACTGCTAGTGCCTACAGCCTTGCAGCAATCATCATCCAACCCGCCCAGTGCAATGCTTGGTGGGTGATTCAGCCTCCATTAAAAAGGCAATGGACAAATGCAGCTGAGAAACAATCACTACGTGATGACACAAAAAAAGGCTGAGAAAAAAGGATTTCAGAGACAGGGACAGATAGGCAGGTGAAAAATGTCGGTTAGATGGAAGGAAATGGGGTGTATCTGAGTAACCCTCTCTACAGAACAATATAATCACTTGCCTCTCAAATGCTACCACTCTAATGGTGAAGATGGGGTCTCCTTGATGGTTTGGGGCTAAGGGGAAATGGCACAGACTCAGTAGCCTCACTCATTTCTGCTGGAAAGAAGACTGACAGAGAGAAGAACATCTGGGAAGCATGGTGGGGGGTGGGGGGTAACTCAAGGAATCCAAATGGACTACCGACACTACAAATGACTATGCAGTAATTCAGCACTGCCCCATGTGGTGAATTGCAAGTTGTGTAGCACTAGCAGCGGACATGATTCCATGTGGGGAGGAATGGATGTAGCCATCTTATCAGGCATCTTGAAAAGGTGTGTTCATCAGAGAGCTGCTTTTCAGCTACCTTTAACAATTGACACGAGTGGGATTCGAAGTACTGCTTGCAACTGGAAAGGCAGGTCAACCACTTGGCAAAGAAATGGAACAATGGATGGACACAGCAGAGGATAAGACAACCTTCTATTTCAAACTTCTAGACTCTACATCCCTTAAGCAGTTCACTGGTACTGTCTAAAGTCAAGAATGGGTTAGATAACCTTGTTCTAGGAGTGCCAAACACAATACCTACAAAGAGATGATCCCAGTGCGTGACCGAGTGTACTGAAAAAATATTGAAAGGGGTATGAAAGATTCAAATCTATAGAGAAAACGTTTTAAAACGAAGTATGAAATATAACTATATTTAGAGATTAAAATAAAGGGGAAACTTCTATGAAGGCAGAAGAGGTGTTTACGGGACATTCCCTGGAGAGCATGCTTTCCTGCTGGCCAGTAAAATCTGCCAAAGAAATCAGCAGCCTTTCCTTTCCCTTTATGTTAGTGTCATTTCTTTGTCAAAGAATGTCTCTGTGACACCAGAACGCTGGGGATGAGTTGAGGGTCCTTTCGAGCAGAGGATGTACACTTTATCAGGAAAAAAAGGGGTCTCCAATGGCTTGTAAATTTGGAAAAACTCTTCAGCCACTTTTGGCTTCTTCTTTATTAATCTGAAAGCCTTCCTTTTCGGCTTTCCTCCCTTCTTGGTATTACAGGATTTCGTATTTGTCCACTAAGAAAGTGGTCTCTGTGGAAAACCTGACGGGGCTGTTTCCATCTACCTGGGTCACTTTGGTAACCTAGGAAAACAAAAAGAATGTGGTAAGGAAAAAGGATGGTGAGCCTACAAGAGGTAGACTACATTTTCATTAAATTACACCAAATTCTCTAAAAGCAGCACTAAAAGTAGCCTAGAAATACAGAAAAAACAAAAACAAAAACAAAACAAAACAAAAAACCCGCTCACTCACACTTGTAGCTATGGCATTATCTAATCTGCTCTCTAAAGAAAAACAACTGCTGGGAATTGAACCCGGGTCCTCTGGAAGACCATTCAGTGCTCTTAACTGCTGAGCCATCTCTCCAGCCCCTTTGATTTTTGCCTTGACATGAAACTATGCTACCTATTAGACACTTGTTCTTCTTTCCCCACATCTGCCTTCTGTTAGAACAGAGTACCTGTATGTTGCAGTAATTTTTTTTGGAGATGAAGGAAACTTGAACAGGGAAGAAGTCATTGGGCTGCCCAGGAATGCTGAACTCTAGGCTGCCACTCTTATTTTTGGCATCAATCACTGGCAGGCACCACTCCAAGGTATTTCGCCGACTGTCGTGCCGATATTCCCCGTCAATCTCACCAATCACTGGTGCACCAACACCCGATCTGTCAGGAGAAATCATCTGGTCATTGTAGTTATTTAGAGAACTCCAACAAGGAAAGGAAATCAAACCCCAAATTTGATCATAGCTGGGGAGTGGTGGTGCACCCCTTTAATTCCAGCATTCAGGAGGCAGAGGCAGGTGGATCTGAATTCGAGGTCAGCTTGGTCTACAGACACAGTTCCAAGGATAGCCAAGGACAACCTGTCTTAAAAAATAAAAACAAAAACAAACCCTCAAAATGTGCCTCAATTTTTCTAAAAATTATGCTGCTTAGTAACTTTAAGGATCAAAGGTCTGACACCCTGGCTAAGGATATCACTTAAATTCCTTTTTAGAAAAAGATATTAGAACAATGGGTATTTAGGACACAGCTCTGGGGACTAGCTAGGCCTGGGAGCTAGCAAGTAACTGAGACTGCAAATGTCTAAAAATGTTTTCATTGTAAAAAATCACTTTATGGTTTGCTAGCCTGTTAAGGACTTTCTAAAGTTTTTCGAGACAGAGTTTCTCTGTGTAGCTTTGGAGCCTGTCTTGGAACTCACTCTTGTAGACCAAACTGGCCTGCTTGCCTCTGCCTCCCAAGTGCTGGGATTGAAGGCACGCACCACCACCACCCAATGTACAATGTACAAAATGAAAAATAAAGCAGGTTGATATACCACTAATAGAGGTGAAATTGGATCTTTGAGATTTATTTTCAAAAAAGTTCAGAATGTTACTGAAGCCAGTGAATTTATTTGGTAAATGAGAAATGAAAGCACAACAACAAAGTCTGGCCGAAATAGAAATAGACTGGAAAAGGAGACACACAGTTGTTTTTGGTCACAGAAGAATCAGGGCTAGTTAGGATGTACTTTGCATTCCCACAAATGGCTGACAGGCAGTGTCACCTACTCCTACACATTCTAAATTTACTCTCTTTTAATTCACCAGTGACACTCGGTGCTTACACTGGGGCAGGGTAAATAAGGAAAACAAAGACTACTTTAAGGGTTGCAAAAATTTTAACTCTTTCCTATCAATTTCACAGTGCTGCTTCCTTCTCTGCTTCAATTCCAATTGTAACTTCTAATCTGATCAGTTTTAGATTCTGGGGTAAAACATTCTCCAAAGATCTCTTCTCCAGGCCACTGAAAAACTGAACAAAGACACAGGAAACCACCAAAGCTACAATTATAGAGCAGACAGAGAGGCCTAAAAACTGTGGCATCCTAAAATAGTCTAGTAAAATAAATCTCAACAGAGTTTACCTGTCAACAATGCCCAAGTCCTACCACTCTCCAAGGTAGCTATTATTTGTTCTGGAGGAACAACTGACTTGTGAAGTTGGTCAGCCTATTATTTAACTTTTTTCAAAACAGGGTCTTTTTGTATAGCCTAGGCTAGTCTTGAAATCATAACCCTCATGTCTCTGCTGTTCAAGGACTGAAACTACAGGTGTGTTGGTTAATCCTATTAATGGGGACACTGGTAATACAGCTATTTATTTATTTTCAAGACAGGGTTTCTGTATAGCTTTGGACCTTTCCTGGCACTTGCTCTGTAGACCAGGATGGCCTTGAACTCACAAAGATCCACCTGCTTCTGCCTCCCAAGTGCTGGATTAAAGGCATGTGAAACCACCACCTGACTAATATATCATAGTTTTAAAAACTGAAATAAGAATGACAACTGGGTGGTGGCGGCGCATGCCTTTAGTCCCAGTGCTCAGAAAGCAGAGGTAGGTGGATTTGCCTACAGAGTTCTGGTCTACAGAATTCCAGGACAGCCAGGGC